AAAAAAAAAAAAAGTAAAAAAAAATTAAACCCTAAAATGAAAATAATGTATTTGATATTAGATCAATAAATAATATAGTAACCTGTTCTTAGTTTTGTTTTTCAAAGATTTATTTGACAGAGATCACAAGCAGGCAGGCAGAGAAAGGGGGGAAGCAGGCTCCCCGACAAGCAGAGAGCCCAATGTGCAATGCAGGGCTTGATCCTGGACCCTAAGATCATGACCTGAACGGAAGGTAGAGAGAGGCTTAACCCACTAAGCCACCCAGGGGCCTCTACAGGTTTGGGTTTTTGTTTTTTTTTGTTTTTTTTTTTTTTTCAAGATTTTATTTATTAGAGAGAGAGAGAGAGAGAGAGAGAGCGCATGAAAGAGGGGGAGGAGAGGGAGAAGCAGACTCCCCACTGAGCAGGAAGCCTGATGTGGGACTCAGTCCCAGGACTCTAGGCTCATGACCTGAGCCAAAGGCAGTCACTTAACCAACTAAGCAGCCCAGTTTTGTTTTTGTTTTTGTTTTTTTAAAGAGGGAGAGCGGGAAGGAGGGAGAAAGGGAGTGAATCTTAAGCAGGCTCCACACCCAGCGTGTAGCCCAACGTAGGGCTGGCTTTCACAACCCTGAGATGTGACCTGAGCTGAAATCAAGAGTCAAACTGACAGAGCTAACCAGGTGTCCCATAAACTGTTTTTAAATTAAGTTACTTACACAGGTGCACTGATAATCCAACTCACTGCGCTGAACTTCAGGAAATGGTTCTGACTTTACATATATGAATACTCATATATATCACAATTCATTTAAAAATCTCAAAGAATACAAATGCCTGTAAAAAAACATACTTACACACTTTAAAAAATTAAGTTTCAAACACGTATCAGCGATAAAAGAAAATATGGGAGCCAGTGAATAAGGACTAAAGAAGAATTAAATGAGAAAAGAATGAGCACTTCACATCTTTAAAAGAACTAACAGACACTCCAAAATTCAGGATGGAGATCTCTATTTCATACTTATTACTACTCATACATCGTAATTAAGGAATACAGCAGTCAGGCATACCAGAAATGATAGCTAGAAATGGAGCTATTTTACTAGTTAAAAGGTTCCAGAGGGAGGCAGATAAACAGCTAAAAAAACAAATGAGAAAGTGGGGCCTAACTTAGCAAATGACTGTATCAGAAAAATTAGAAGTCTCTTACAAATGAACCATCAGCAACCAGATGCAAACAGAAAGAAAACTAAAAGCCTGGAAGTATACAGAGTTCATATAGGAAGCAAAATTAAAATCAAAATTGGAAAGAAAAAAAAAAAAAAAAAAAGGAGTACAGAAAAAGTTAGCAGCTAAAACCACCATTAGCTGGCCAAGAGTCAAAGCCCTTCAAACTAGTTTTTCAAGGCCAGGATGACATTTTATCTTTCCTTTCAGGAATACCACAAAATTGTTGCCCTGTGTTTGTTGAATGAATAAGCAACAGAATAGTCTTGGGGTTATTTCATCTGTAAAGGAATTATCAGGTATGGTTAACTGTGAATGCTCGAAGAAAGCATTTACAGAACTTTCCCAGAGTGCCTAAACTGACTTCTTCCCAGATATGGACACAGAGGATATATACAGGAACAAGATCACAATCACTAAAAGAAAACCCAAGATACTTATCTGTAAGGAGATGAAGTACCGCATCCTATTCTGTCACAATTTCAAAAATTTTAAAAATAAAGCAGAGTACAATGCAAACAGCACCTGCCTTCCAAGAGCTAACATTTAAAATGAAATTCACTACAGAAGAATAACCGAAAATAGTGTCATCTCCAACCGTATCTAACATTAGAAAATTTACCCACAAAATTAAAAATATTAATAGTTTAAGTAATTTTACCATCACAGAACTTCTAACACTTCAATAACCAAACCCACCTCCTACTGGTTATATACAAAATACAATTTATCTGCATAAGTAGCACAAAGTTATAGCTATATTCAACAGAACTGTATCCCCCCTTCCATACAGCGCCAAAATTCTTTCATTTCAATGCTATCTTCTGACCATTATTAATTTCCTCAACCCAGGAACTATGGACAGAGGAGACCTATGTTTCTGATTATCTGATTTCACGGAATAAAAATGATCTCCATCCTAAGAGGCAGAAAAAGAGGACCAGAAGATGCAGGCTATTTTTAAAAAGTGAACGAAGAATTGAGAAGCTCATGGACAGAAAACCACATGGCACTCATTTGAGTTTCCTTAGAAGATTCTGCAAGCACAATCACTGTTGTATATATGTATCTCAAACATAAGCAATAGAAGATCTTATAGTGGGGAAAAAAAAACAATGTTTCATTTACCCAGTGAAAATAGCTTGTGCCTCAGTACATGCTTTAGACTCAAAATCTGAGTCTAAATTAAATGGGCAAATTAAATCTGAAAATAGTTACAGAATGTATTTACTATTTCTTAGCCTCCTAGCACAAAGAGCTTGAGGCAGGGTAGTAACTGAGTAACAGCACTATACAAAAGAAAGGAGACTAACTTTTAAAATAAAAGTTGAATGTCTGTATGAACACAGTATAAAAATTACACTAATAAAATCCTGGAGAATACGGAAAACAACATTTTAAATGCTAACAACAAAAACCCAAAAGAATTTTCTGATCACAGGTCATTTTTTTAGCTTGTAAACGATCTCAAAAACCATACTAAGCTTTTAAATTCATAACTTATCAGTAGGAATCACATTTGAACTCCTTATAAAAATAAATTTAAACAACCTAAGAATCTCAAACGGAGTCAAATAAATTGAAGACTTTACTTGAAAAGGTGATAAAGTTCTTTTCTTGGAAAAATGTCCTGTATTTCTCTCATCGTTAACAAAGCATTTGATAAGTTATATTCATAAACACATTCTCTTATAAGCCATTGGTATCCATTTTAAGATGCTCAACTCAATACCTTATTTCTAGAGTGACTTGTTTATTAATTAAGTAAATTGACGGACATAAAATATTTTGATGACACAACCATACAGGGAAATATCCCTGCAACCTACTGTTTTACAGAGAGCTATTAAGTATATGTGGAGGTTTCATCAAAAAAGCTACTCACCACCATCCCTCTCTCTAACTCTGTGAATATGCACATTTTTGGCCTTACTGTGACCTGTGCTGTCACTATATTTGTTTTCAGGACTATCAGATCTCCGCAACATTTTATTTGGTGGTGAAGGATCTGCGGCGTCTCGCATTTTTTCATGTCTGTGATCACCGCTACTGGGGTGACTCTTCGATGAATACTTAAGTGCCTGCAAAACATCACCCCCCCAAAAAAAGAGAAAAAAATGAAACTTTAAACTTCCTAGATGATTTTATCATAAAAGTTGGCGTATCAACTTCAGTTCATGAACTTCTATCAATAAAATTAAAATTTCTACTTCTAATTCTGCCTTTAAGTTATTCAGACACCTAAGTACCTAAGACTTAGTCTACGGCTTCTTGAATGAATCAGGTTAAAAAAAAAAAAATTTTTTTCATTAAGTTATTTTTTTAACTACAAAAAAAAAAAAAAATCAAACACCTTGGTACATTAATTCCTTAATAAATTTTTCTGGGAATAACAAAGTTTAATCCAAAGTAGAAACTAGTGTACTAGTTTCATCTTGAGTACTAATGTAACCTTGTGTTCTACAACTGATACACACAGATACAAGTATACATTAAGAATAAGCATGTTTCTACAAACCTTTAAAAAAAAAAAAAAAAAAGAACCATCAGTTTCACCAATTTTTGATCCAAAAAAACCCATTTCACATCTAACTTACCTACTCTTGCACAGGTATTGAAAATAATTTCGAGGTATAAAAATGTTGGCGGATATTTCTAACATAATTTAATGGAACTTCCTCACAATGGTTTAGTTTCATTCTAATACACATTTAAGACACCCATAATAAACCAGTGTTAATTAGTAGGTTTCAGAGAAGCAGATTCAACAGGGTTTAATCTTTTGACTATGCAAAGATAATGAACAATGTTTTACACATCAAGGGACCTAGGATTTTTAACTGGTAACGTAACTATCAGCTTAGAAATTCCTTTAAGTGATTAGGTGTAGAAAGTGGAAAGTTTTATTTCTGGTGTCATCTGATAGTTACCAGCCATTTATGAGATTTCCACCTCAGAACAAGGCCCACTTTTATCGCAATTTTTAAAAACTTTACATGCAGAAACCGCAGTAACAAAAAAGAACCTACCTACCTAGAACCATCTATGCTAGAATGGATTATCCATAAAAAGACTTCTGACCATGGAATGAATTATCCAAGTATTCAAAGATCTCAATTCTCACAAAGAGAAAAGCTCTTTCACTAGTAACTGAACTATTTGCACCAAAAACAAAATAGGGAAGGAATAGTTTAGGAGACACATTTAAGAGTTGAAAATCAATTAGTTATTTCTTCTCAAGCCTTCCATCTAACTTAAGTATCGTTACGTTAACTTTTAGTTCCCAAATACAATAAATATGGCTCAGAAGTCACCTATCATCTCATCCCTTCGATTCCTTCACACCGAAATAATCGAGTTAGGTCCTTCCTGGCTAGATTTTTTTTTTCTTTAAGAAAAAAAAAAAAAAAAAGAAAAAACAGAAAACAAAAAACCCTGAACTTCCTCCAGTCACCTGTCAAAATATGTCACTAAACGTTGCTGGAGAGCGCTAACAGAACCAAACACAAAATTTTAAGGGGACCCGCGGTGCTAGTTTCAGATTTGTTGCACCGAAGGGCCTGTAGCGACTTCTGAAGCCTGCGCTCGAGTAGCAGTTCCTCCCTTCCCCCTCCGTCCCCCCACCCACCCCTCCACCCCTCCACCCCGGCCTCGGCTGGTACCTGGTAAGGCTGCGAGTCCCCCCTCCGGTCGTGACAGCTGAAAAACAGGAAGAGAGAACGCGATATGAGACACCTCGGTGGGGGGTGGGGGGGTAGGAAGAAAACGGGTTCCCCCCCCAGCGCCCCTCCCCGCGGGAGACCTACCAAACGTACCGGCAATGAGCCCCCACACACACACCGCACACACACAGCCGGCTGAAAGACGGGAACGAGGGCGAAACGCCGAGAACCCGGCCCTCCGCTGCCTCCACACTCACTCCGTCCTCGCCCGCTCGCGCGGCTGCTCCTCCTCCTCCCAGCCCGATCCGGATCAGGGTTAACAACAAAAATGGCGGCTCAGCCAGCACCAGATAAGGAGGAACAGCCCCCCCCCCTCCGCGCCGCCGCCACCGCCCCCCGCCCGCGCTGCGGCCCGGCCCGAAACGAAAAGACAATTTACCCATCACTGAGTCTCTGCTGTTTCCTCGCATACATTACCATCAATGCCCGGCCTGTGAGTGTGTGTCGGGGGAGGGGGAGAGCGGCCGCGAGAGGCGGGCGGGCGGGCGCGCAGGCGGCGGGCGGGCGGCAGCACCGGCACCAGGGCCCGACGCGCCCTCGGCGACTCTCAGCACCTCCCCGTTACTGGCGCCGGCGTTCCCGGGCCATCTCCCTCCGCCGCCACCACGCTCACTCTCAGCCCAGGCAGCCGCGCCAACTACACGGCGGCAGCGGCGAACGGGGGGAGGGGGGCAAGAAGACGCGTCCGGCTCTGCCCCGCGGAGAGCTACTGCCTCCTCCGCCTTCTCTTCCTCCTGCTCCTCCGTCTCCTCCCCTCCTCCCCCCGTCGCCGCCGCTGCCTGGTCCTTCGCCGCCGCCTCCTGCTGCCGCCGCCGCCGCCGCTGGTGCCGCCGCTGCCGCTCCACCAACTACATCCGGGCAACTCGGACGCCGCGGCCTTCGGAAAACCTCGGCAGTTTCCGCCGCGCCCCTCCTCTCCCACCCTCTGCCTTCCTCCCCGCCCCGCGCGGCTCCGGAACGCCGCCTTCGGCAAACCTCGGCTCGGCCCGGCCTTCCTCTTCCTCTGAGGCCTGGCTCGCCTCCTCGCGACCCGTCAGCTCTTTCCGGTTGTCGCTTCTTTTCCTCACGCCCAAGTCCGGCCGCTGCCGTTCCAGTTTAGGGATAGTCCCGTTCGGGGACCTGCTCGAGGCTGGTCCCGGAGGCTCCGGGGTGCGCGGGGTGGGAGCCACCTTCGGGAGGAGGACGGTGGGGCGCGAGAGGAGCCATCGCGGACTAAATAAAGGAGGCTGCGGCTGCTGCGCGTGCGCCCGGAGGCGCGGGGGTGGGAGGGTGCCCTTGGGTGAGCTCTCCGGCCGCCCGCCCCCGCCCCTCGGGGCTCCGGCGGGGTGGTCGGAAACCCCGGGTTAGGCGGCTGGCGGGCGTTTACCAAGGCGCTTCCTCGGCCCGCAGCGACGGCAGCTGCGCTCGGAGAGGTGGGGAGCGCGCCGCTGCTCCGTGCGGCCCGCTCCTGGGAGCCGGAGCCCGGGCCTGGGCACTTGCCTCAGACCGGCCGCCGAGTGCGCGGCCGGCCTTCGGGGGGCCGGGGCCGCCTGGAGCTCGCCCGTTAGAAGTAAGTCTTACCCCCAGAAGCGTGCGGGAGGACGAGCTTGCCGAGCGAGGAAAGACGCAGCAGATAAGGGGTGGCGTACCGAATGCGGGAAGGCCGTGCGCGGCTTGAGGCGGGAGCGCTGCTCCGGGCGGTGAATGGAACCCGAGGCTGACCGCGAGCGGGAATGGGTTACTGGGGGAAGGTGGTGGTGAACCGCCTCGTCCTTGTTTCCTGTTTTCCGCCCGCCCCCACCCCACCCCCACCCCCCGCTGTGTCCTCCCCACCCTCTCCTTTATTTCCCATTTTTCTCTTCTAGTCCCTCCAACTTGCTGAAGTCCTTTGGTGAAGGAGCGCTCATTCCGTCGGACGTTCTGCATGTGAATAAAGGCACCGGGTGTGCTACAGGAAGCTGAGACGAATTGGATTTTATAGACTGCGGCAGGCACGATACCGACATTGGCATATTGGGAAGGGGAAAGTCAAGTATATCGCCCCAAATTAAGCTTTACTGGAAGGGTGGCGGTTGATACTTGGGTGGGGTTTACCCCCCTGCTCTAAATTCCTTATAAGGCAGCACTAATTTAACGAAAAGATTGTAATAAAGTAAATATATATTTGCATAGAAGAAAAAGGTAAAAGAGGAAACAAGCCAGAAGAGATAAGATCCCACCAAAAACCAGTATCAAAAAGTAACCGATTGACTTGGTATCCCACAAGTTACGTTACTGCTGGGCCTAATGAAGAGAAGGTATGATGTGGGGAAGAGGCCCTGAAATCACAATTGACAGAAATGTTTAAGTAGCGTGGTTTGTCACATCCACCTGCCAGATGTTAGGATAATTGACTGCTGTTTTCGAGAACCAGTAAAAGCCTACTTAATGCCCCCATGGGCTATCAGTAATTAAAAAGACTGCCAATGACTGAAATGGGGAAAAAATTAAAAACCTAGAGTTATGTGCAATTTCTTTTTTATTTAAGATTTTATTTCTTTTGGAGAGAGCGTGGGGGAGGGGAGGAAGGAGCAGAGGGGAAGGAAGATGGAGGAGGAAAGAATCTCAAGCATATTTCTGCTGATGGGAGCCCCACCCAGGGCTGGATACCGTGACCCTGAGATCACTGAGCTGAAACCAAGAGTTGAACTCTAAGGGGCTGAACCATCCAGCCACCCCTTAGGGTGCAATTTCTAACACTTTTGTAACACACAGAAGACAGAAGATAGCAGCTTTGCAGAGTACACAAAGTAGTACATACATTTTATATAGAAACTTCTTGAAAACTGGCAGCAAAATTTATTACTAATTTCTTGATGGTAATGGTGTGCTGAAATTTTGATATATAGCATTTGTTTTTCTCTAAAGTTTTTTAAGATTTTTTTTTATTTGACACAGAGAGGACAAGCAGGCAGAACTGCAGGCAGAGGGAGAAGCAGCCACTGGCCACGCCCCTCCCCCAGAACAGGGAGCCAGATGTGGGGGATTGATCCCGAGACCTTGGGATCACTACCAAAGCCCAAGGCAAAGAGAGGTTCAACCGACTGAGCCAGCCAGGTGCCCCTGATATTTTACATTTGATCAAAAGCAGCAAATGAGGAAACTAGGGGGCAATATAGTCTTCATTATTTATAGATCCTATATTTGCAAATTTGCCTACTCATTAAAATTTGTAATCACCAGTATGCATAGCAGTCATGGATATGCACAGAGTGGCGAAAAATTTAGCATTCCCAGCTGAGTTTAACAAGACAACACTGGTTAATTCTGCTCTCCTACTGTAAATAAATGTACTTTTCACAATATATATACTTTCAGGGTTTTTGTACTTTTCATGCTTATCGGTGGTTTTGCTTTTTTAATTTTTTTTTTTTATTTGACGGACAGAGATCACAAGTAGGCAGAGAGGCAGGCGGGGGGCGGTGGGGGGGGAAGCAGGCTCCCTGCTGAGCAGAGAGCCCGATGCAGGGCTTGATTTCAGGACCCTGAGATCATGATCTGGGCCCAAGGCAGAGGCTTAATCCACTGAGCCACCCAGGCACTCCGGTTTTGCTTTTTTTTTTTTTTTTTAACGATTTTATTTATTTATTTGACAGAGATCACAAGTAGATGGAGAGGCAGGCAGAGAGAGAGGAAGGGAAGCAGGCTCCCTGCTGAGCAGAGAGCCCGATGCGGGATTCGATCCCAGGACTCTGAGATCATGACCTGAGCCGAAGGCAGCGGCTTAACCCACTGAGCCACCCAGGCACCCCCGGTTTTGCTTTTTTAAATGGCCCTCCAAGCATGGTGCGGAAGTGCTGTCTAGTAATCAGTCCGAAACACAGGATGCGGTATGCCTGGTGGAGAAAACAGGTGTTCTAGATGAACTTCCAGGCTTATCATTAGTGCCCTTGGCCATGATGAGTTCAGTGTTAAGGAATCAACACTATATATAGAATAAACCATCTAAGTAAAAACACATGGATGGAAATGTCACCTAAGTCTTTCAGGAACCTAACCCTGTTTTCCCTAGTTGCAGATCAGTATTCACAGTGACTTAACAGAACTACCTCAAATAAGAATCAACTACGTACTAAAGGACCTATCCAAATGTTATGCCCATTTTTTAAAAAACTCATGGCCTATTTTCGATTCCATTATCCATTGTTATAAATTCTTTACAAATACCTTCATCCTTCCCTTCTTTTTTCCTCCATTTTACCTGTCTAAACCGCAATCCTGGTTAATTCACTGTGTGCTGGCAGTGGAGCTTGGCTGGAGAAAAACAGCCCTCCTAACTGTGGAAGGGCACCTTGTGTTCCTCACACCCCCCCCCCCACCCAGGCTAATTTCCTTAATCCATTTACCCAGCTCTCTTAAATGGCTATTTAATATATTTTAAACTAAGAAAACCTCCCACTCCCCTTTCTGAGTAAGGTATTCTCTAGGGAAATAGGGAAAAAAAAAAATCAAATCAATAACAGCTCCCTTCTCACCATTGCACCTTACCAGCCTTCCTATATCTGAATACGGTGCTACATTCCTAACTATGCATAAACTGTCAAAATTCCTATAATCAAAGTTGCCACCTTTTCCTTGAGTTCCATTTTACTCTTGGAATTGTATGATTTCCTTACAAATATTTTTCCTCTCAACTGGATCACTTCTGTCACTTATAAACATGTCTTAATAGCTACCATCATTTAAAAAACAAAAACAAAAAAAAACCTTGACCTGTATCACCCTCCCAATACTTCCCCCTTCCCCACTTTGATTTGCTCTTCCGTACAAACTTCTCCACTTCTGCTACTGTCTCTTAAATTCACAAGTCGGATTTGGCCTCCATATTCCACTGTTAAACCATTCAATATCAGCAGCATGTTGATAACCTCCATGTGCTCAAATCCAATTTTTATTTCTTCATCTTCATATCCTTTAACCTGTCAGCAGCATTTGACATAGCTGATGAATTACTCTCTTCCTGAAGCTCTTTATCTGGCCTGCCAGGATTCTATTCTCTCTTCTCTTCCCTCCTAAATGATTGTTGCTTAGCCCTCTTGCTGGTTCCTCCTAATTTTCTAGCCTCAAAATGCTAGCTAGAGTGCCCCAAGATTCAAATCAGGATCAGACTGCTTCTCTCTCTCTCTCTCTCCCTCACTAGGCAATCTTATCCATGTCTCTGGCTAAAGGAAACTCATGTTTGAATCTCCAGCTTGTAACTTTCCCCTAAGCACTGGGCTCACAATCAACTGCCTATTCTACAGCACCGCTCGAATGTCCAGGTATCGCAGACCTCATAACGCCCACAACCAAACTCTTCATTCCCACTGCCCCCAAATAAATCCTGATTAAGTCTTCCCTGTTTCATGAAATGACAACTCCATTCTTCCAGTTGAGATTAGAGACTTTGGAGTCCTTGATTCTTTCATACCTCATCCACTCCATCAGCAAATTCCACCAGTATTATCTTCAAGATAGACTCAGAATCTGATCTTTGTTCACTACCTCCATCACATTCACTCTGGTCCAAGTCGCCATCTTATTCCTAGGTAGTAGTAAAGGCTTCCTAACTCATCAACTTCTATACGTGCTTTCACAGGGTTTACTAGCTTACATAGCTGTCAGAGTGATCTCTTAAAAGTCAGTATTATTTCTGTCTTACGACCCACCAACGGTAGGGTGCCTGGGTGGCTCAGTCAATTAAGTAGCTGCCTTCGGCTCAGGTCATGATCCCAGGGTTCTGGGATGGAGTCCCAGGATGGGCTCCCTGCTCCGCAGAGAGCCTGCTTCTCCCTCTCCCTCTGCCTGCCACTCTGCCTACTTGTGATCTCTCTCTCTGTCAAATAAATAAACAAAATCTTAAAAAACAAAAACAAAAACAAAAAAACCCCACCAATGATATCCTATCTCAGAATAAAAGCCAAAGTTCTTACCATGGTCTGTAATGAACTACCCCCATCCACATTATCTCTGGTTTCATATCCAGTGACTTTTTTACTTGCTCATTCTCCCCCTCATCACTCTCTTTCCTTTTTCTCCAATATAACAAGCATGTCTGAGGAGCTTTGTCTTACTATCCTGTCTGGAATGATCTTCCCCTTTGGTCCTACTTGGTTCACAGTGTATTATTTTAGGTCTGTACTTAAATCTCACCTTTTCAGAAAGGTCTTTCCTCTGAGAACTCTATATAAATGGTACCCCACTACTATCTTCTCTCACCCTGCTCTATTTTTCTTTCACTATTTGCCATATAATACATATTTAATTTATTTGTTGTGTCTCACTAAAATGATATCTCTGTGACATCAGAGAAACATTTGTTGAGTGAAAGGATATTTGCCTACAAAATTACAAAGGAAATAGCAAAATATTGTTCATTGTTAAGAGGAAATGACATGTTTTAAGTCCAGTCCTACTGTCATAAATAGGTAAAAGCTGCCCTCTTCCCAATACAGATAAAATACTGTATTAGATAGCATTTGAAAATTTACATAAACTTGCATATATAGCAAATCTTAGATTGTTTTCATTCCTCTCTGCTGAGACATTACAAGTTTTTAAGTGTGCAGAAGACCCATATATTTCAACGAACAGATTAACACCTAACCAATAGAGGGGGAGAACTATCAGCCCATGTAGGCTGTAGGTGACCATGATTTTAATGTGATCTTATTCATAGAGAATCAAAAAGTGAAGTTCTCAAGCTTTTGGTTGTAAAAGGAGCCAGGTGATGTTTTGCTAGAATTTCTAAAGGATCACAAAATAAGAACGTGTTCTCTGAAATTTTTACTTACTCTTTTTTTTATTTATTTATCAGAGAGAGAGAGAGCACACAAAAGCAGGGGAGCTGCGGGTGGAAGGAGCAGGTTCCCTGCCAAATAAGGAACCTGATGTGGGGAGTCAATCCCAGGACCCTGGGGTCATGACTGGAGCTAAAGGCAGATGCTTAACCAGGTGAGCCACCCAGGGATCTCTACCTAATCTCATTTCTGTTTCCTCTGTCCTTGACTTCCTCTCAAACAGGATAGTATAGTGGTTAAAACCATGGCTTTTGGAATCAAAATGACATAAAGTAGAGCTCTGGCTACATTATTGACTGACTAGCAGTGTGATTTGGGGCAAAATACGGAAATTTCAGAGATAATGCTTCCTAATCTCTAAAATTGGCTTGAATGGGTATAGGGCTATTTGTCAGAAGTAAATGAAATCACTTAAATGTGCAGCACCTGGCACCTGGCGACTGTCATTCATTCATTCCAAACAATATTATTGACCTGTGTCTCATGTCTCGGCAACACAGCAAATTCACTTGGTTTCTCCTTCTATGGTGTTTATATATTTTTAAAAGATTTTATTTGTTTATTTGACAGACAGAGATCACAAGTAGGCAGAGAGGCAGGTGGAGAGAGAGAGGGGGGAAAAGGCTCCCCACCAAGCAGAGAGCCCAGTGCGGGGCTCAATCCCAGGACCATGGGATCATGACCCAAGCCGA